TGATTTGATGTAATATTTATTAATACTTTTTAATTACAGTACTTTTTATTTTTAGTTTTTCATTTTGAATGAAACAGCTCTACATAGCTGGGCTCTGTACAATCCAATAAGAGTAATAATCCTGATGAAATGTTCATTAAAATCCAAATCTGCTAATAAACTTCACTCACAGAGATAAGGGCAAAACATGAGTTTAGTTCTGAAAATGTTTGATTGCAGAGATTATTGTGTTTTGTGTGAACTGATGGGACTAAATGTCATTTATTGTAATCTGTACAGAGATGATTGGAAAAGAGGGATTAAATCATTAAAATAAGAAAAATCTGGGAGGATTATAAAAGTTTACACAAAGACAGGTGAACATGATGACTGTCAGCTACTACCACTCTCATGTTTATTCAGATATTTTCTCAGGATGCTCAGAAGTGGCTGCCAAAGACTCCTTCAAACCCACTCAGTGGTTCAGGAGATATTTTGCTAACAGACATGGTGGCTGCTTCACCTTCAGAGGCGGGGCCATTATTAGCACAACTCTAAAGGATGTTGGCAGGTCCAGGTTCTGGTCCTGGTGGTCCCACCAAGCCTGCCTCCTTACCTTCATCCTCTCCCGGCACTGGGACGGGGTCCTCTCGTAGCCCAGCTCTGCCAGGGCTCTGGACACCCTCTCGTACATGGCGGGTCCGGGTGCCTTCCCGGAGAACACGGTACCGGCCACCTCCAGCTGCTGCATCCGGGCCTCCGTCAGCCTCTCGTTGCCCCACACGGCGATCAGCGCGTTGGTCTCGGACGGCGTCCACGACATCCCGCGGCAGCCGATGAAGCTGTTGGAGGAGGAGGAGGAGGCCGCCGTCCGGCCCGTGCTCCCAGAACCCGCGTCCAGAGGAGAGAACCGGTTCGGTGTGGAGGGATTGGACTGGTACTGGTTACTGTCACTCAGGTCCTCCGACTCAGGAGATGGCACCTCGGTTTTAGGGGTTTTTAGGGGGGTCGTTAGCTCCGGGGAGCGCTCAGCGTTAATAGACGCCGCCATGTTGGCTCTGTTGCTATGGGAGGGGAGGAGAAGGATGATGTGGTTGGTGGGCGGGGCCTCAGCCCTGCCTGGATCCTGGTACCAGAGGTATGTCTGTGTATGGAGGGATGAGGGTGACAAAAATGAATGAATGAATGAATGAATGAATGAATGAATGAATGAATGAATGAATGAATGAATGAATGAATAAANCCACGCCTCAAGCAAGAATCACTTCTCTATAGCTGAGAGTCCAGACCCTCGTACGAAGCAAAGTGAAGGACAAGGGTCTGGTTTTTACCAGGCTAKCTCACTACTGGAATGCAGTCCAATTTTTTGGGGGTGTGGCCTAATTATTTCACACTGCCCCCTACAGTTATCTAAAAAAATCATCCCCAAGCCACGCTTGGACCTAGAATCAGTGGCAGCTGGTCAATAAAGGGCGCTAGGGCACAACCCCTCCACTATGTTTTGGGACACAAAAAATTAAAAAAAAAAATAAATAAAATGACAGAATCAAATGTTTAGTAGAAATAACTATATATGTTTGTGATGTGTAAGATGTTTTTATATAGTTATTAATGGATAAATTTTCATTTTACTCATGAACGATGTCGTGTTGAGTCACTTCTGCTTCACTTCAGGACGCAGAAATCTTTACCATTGAAGTCTAATGTCAGCGTCCAGTGGTGGACAGTAACAAAGTACTTTTACTTTATTACTGTAATTAAGTATATTTTTTGAGTATCTTTACTAGGGCTGCCACGATTAGTCGACTAGTCACGATTATGTTGACTACTAAAATAGTCGACAACTAATTTAATAGTCGATGCGTCGTTTTTTTTACTTTAACTTTGTTTTTCTCTCCAAACTGCTGCGGCATCTTCCACTTCCGCATCTGCCTTTCTGTCCTTGACATGCATTAGTAGTGGTGCAGTAGTGGTTAGGCCGCGCGCACGCATGCTCATTAGTGGGTAGGCCGCGAGCGGATGCGTTCACACAGACAGACTTGGATCATGGCTACCTGACAACGGAGCTCAAAAGTGTGGGATCATTTTAAGAAAACGACAGAGAAGTGTGTTCAATGCAATATCTGCAAGGTGGAACTTGCCTTCCACAGCAGCAGAACTGCGATGCACGAGCCCCTGAAAAGGAAGCATGTTGTGGCTGATGAAGACGGACCATCATCTCGGTAAGCTAAATTGCTAGTTAGCTGCTAAAATAAGCGTAAACAGAGAGTTAACTTGCTACTTGCTCATATTGATAGCTGTAAAAGTTAACATTAGCGATGACGATTTGATTCATTAGCCTTAGCACACATGTTTCATGTGTTTTCTGTAACGTTATAACAGTGATGTGTTAGAAAAGGAATGCTAATGTTTTCTAATGTTACGTTTCAGTGCTAAAAAAGTACATTCGTCTTCTTCAATGGACAGCTTTGTTATAAAGCCAGCTACATGCACACCTCAGCAAGCCAATGTCCTGACTGAGTCCATTCTGAAGATGCTGGTGACGGACATGAGACCACTATCCATGGTAGACGATGAGGGATTTAAAGACATGATTAAACATTTCAACCTGGATCATCATGACAACTACCTACCAGGCAGATCTCACTTCACCA